CATCACATTAACAAAAGAAAAGAACCATATGATCCTGTCGATGGATGCAGAAAAAGCATTTGACAAAATACAGCATCCTTTCTTAATAAAAACCCTCGAGAAAGTTGGGATAGAAGGAACGTCTTTAAACATCATTAATAGCGATTTATGAAGAGCTCACAGTTAATATCATCCTCAATGTGGAAAAACTGAGAGCTCTCACCACTGTGGTCTAAAATCCTAGCATCAGCAATCTGAAAACAAAATTAAATAAGAGGCATAAGAATTGGAAAAGATGAAGTCAAACTTTCACTTTTCGCAGACGACATGATACTCTACATAGAAAACCCGACCGACGCCACCAAAAGTCTGCTAGAACTAAGACATGAATTCAGCAAAGTACCAGGGTACAAAATCAACATACAGAAATCCGTTGCATTTTTATACACCAATAATGAAGCAACAGAAAGGGAAATCAAGAAACTGATCCCATTCAGGATTGCACCAAAGACCATAAAATATGTAGGAATAAACTTGACCAAAGATGTAAAAGATCTGTATGCTGAAAATATAGAAAACTTATGAAAGAAACTGAAGAAGACACAAAGAATGGAAAAACATCCCATGCTCATGGTTCCGAAGAATAAATATTGTCAAAATGTCATTACTACCCAAAGCAATCTACACCTTCAATGCAATTCCAATCAAAATTGCACCAGCATTCTTCTCAAAACTAGAACAAACTATCCTAAAATTTGTGTGGAAACACAAAAGACCCGAATAGCCAAAGTAATATTGAAGAAGAAAACCAAAATGGGAGGTATCACCATCCCAGACTTTAACCTCTACTACAAAGCTGTCATCATCAAGACAGTATGGTATTGGCACAAAACAGACACATAGACCAATGGAATAGAATTGAGAACTCAGAATTGCACCCAAAAGTATACAGCCAACTAATCTTTGAAGCAGGAAAGAGTATCCAATGGAAAAAAGGCAGCCTCTTTAACAGATGGTGCTGAGAGAAATGGACAGCAACATGCAGAAGAATGAAACTAGATCATTTTCTCACACCATACACAAAAATAAACTCAAAATGGATAAAGGACCTGAACGTGAAACAAGAAACTATCAACAGCCTAGTGGAGAAAGCAGGAAACAACCTCTTTGACCTCCACCGCAGCAACTTCTTACTTGACACATCCCCAANAGAGAGAGTGGGGTAGGGGCAGAGAGAAAAGGAGAGAGAGAATCTCAAGCAGGCTCCACACTATCAGCCCAGAGCCCAACGTGGGGCTCAAATTCACGAAGCATGAGATCATGACCTGAGCTGAAATCAGGAGTCAGACACTTAAGTGACTGAGCCTCCCCAGGCGCCCCTCTTGTGATAACTCTTAAAATCTCTCTTAGACTGCACGGCAAAGGAAACAACCCACAAAACTAATAGGCAACCAACGGAATGGGAAAAGATAGTTGCAAATGACATATCAGATAAAGGGTTAATATCCAAAATATATAAGGAACTCACCAAACTCCACACCCGAAAAACAAACAACCCAGTGAAGAAATGGGCAAAAGATATGAGCAGACATTTCTCCAAAGAGGACATCCAGATGGCCAACAGACACATGAAACGAAGCTCAGCATCCCTCAGGGATTTCCTCAGGGAAATGCAAATCAAAACCACACTGAGATACCACCTCACGCCAGAAAGAGTGGCTAATATGAGCAAATCAGAGGAGTCTAGATGCTGGAGAGGATGTGGAGAAACGGGCATCGTCCTACACTGTTAGTGGGAATGTAAACTGGTGCAGCCGCTCGGGAAAACAGTGTGGAGGTTCCTCAAAAAATTAACAGTAGAACTCCCCTATGACCCAGCAATAGCACTGCTAGGAATTTACCCAAGGGATATAGGAGTGCTGTTGCATAGGAGCACATGTACCCCAATGTTCTTAGCAGCACTCTCAACAACAGCCAAAACATGGAAAGAGCCTAAGTGTCCATCAACGGACAAATGGATCAAGAAGATGAGGTTTATCTATATGATGGAATACTACATGGCAATGAGAAAGAATGAAATCTGGCCATGTGTAGCAACATGGATGGACCTTGAGGGTGTTATGCTGAGCGAAATAAGTCAGGCAGAGAAGGACAAATACCATATGTTTGCACGTATAGGAGGATTAGGAGGAACTTAACGGAGGACTGTGGGGGAGAAGAAGGGGGGAAGTCGTGGGGGAGAGGGAGAGATGCAAACCATGAGAGACTCTTGAACGCTGAGAACAAACTGAGGACTGATGGGTGTGGGGCAGTGGGGGGATAATGGGCATGGAGGAGGGCACTTGTGGGGATGAGCACTGAATGTTGTATGGAAACCAACTTGACAATCAACTATTTGTAAAAAAATAAAATAATAAAATAAAATGGGAAAGTTAAAAAAAAAAGAATGGGTATTACAAGAGACAACAAATGCTGGTGAAGATGTGCAGAAAAGGGAACCCTCTTACATTACAAATATACACTGGTACATCTATTATGAAAAATAGTATGGAGGTTCTTAAAAAAATTAAAATTGAGATTACCATATGATCCAACAATTCCACTTCAAATATATGTCTAAAGAAAATAAGATCACTAATCTTGAAGAGACATCTGCACCCCTATGTCTGCATCATTATTTATAATAACCAAGACATGGTAACAACCTAAGTCTCCACTGACAGATGAATAAAGAAAATGTAGTGTATATATATAATGAAATAATATTCAGATACAAGGAAATCCTGCCATTTCCAACATAATGGATAAAACTTGAGGGCATTATACTAAGTGAAATAGTTCAGAGAAAAACACTATATGATCTCACCTATATATGGAATTGAAACAAACAAACTCATAAATACAGAGTAGATGGGTAGTTCCCAGAGGTGGGAGTACGGGAAAAATGGATGAAAGGGTATAGATTCTCACTCATAACATGAACAAGTTCTTGGTATCTAATATACAGGATGATGTATATTATAGATCATGTTAATAACATAGTTATAGTATATATAGTTAATACAAATTATAGGACAGTTATAGTATAGTTAATACTACAGTATAGTGAGTATAATTAACAGTATTGTATACTTAAAAGTCACAGAGAATAGATATTAAAGGTTTTCATCACATACTCACAAAATGGTTACTGTGTGAGATGACTGTGTGAAACCTTATTGTGGTAATTATTTTGTAATATATAGGTATAGCAAATCACCATATTATACACCTGAAACTTACAACATTATATGTCAAATATATCTCAAAAAAGCAAGACAAAAAGAACTATAATACAGCTTGCACTGTCCACTTGAAATTATGTTCTCCCAAATTCATCCCTTTTCCCTTATTTATAAGTGGATAATCTTCACAATAAAGGTATATGAAACATACAAAAACTAGCACATTGTCAATTTCTATTTTGACACATGCAGTGAGGTCATGTAAGAGAAAGGCATCTTTCTGAAGAAACATGCACTGATGTATTTACAGGTACAGAAGTAAAGGAACATGAGATCTACAAGTTATTCTTAAATAGTTAAAAAGTCAGCCGACTTCAGCTCAGGTCATGATCTCAGGGTTCCTGAGTTTGAGTCCCGCATTGGGCTCCATGCTGACAGCTCAGAGCCTGAAGCAGGCTTCAGATTTTGTGTCTCCCTCTCTCTCTGCCCTCCCCTGCTGACAATCTGTCTCTCGCTCTCAAAAATAAATCAACATTAAAAAAAGTTTTTAACACAAATATATATACATATATATATATATATATATATATATCAGGAGTAACTCCATCATTGAATAGCATGCAGATGCATTTCTATGTATGTAATGAAAGAAAAAGTTTTATATGGCCAAATGTGTTGAAATGAGAAGCTGGTATATAATTCTGCTTTTCTTATAAGATTAAAAAAAAAACTTTAAAGAAGAAAATCAGATGAAGTTTAACTGTAATTGAACTAATGATTTCACAATATAATTTTTTAAAAAAGACTCATGTTGGTACATTAAACAACTCATGAGTCAAAAAAGAAATCATAAGAGAAATTATAATTGAATGGTAATAAAATACATATATAAATCTGTGAAATTCTTCTGAAGTTGTACATAGTGGAAGATTTATAGTCATAAATTCTTATTTTAGAAAAGAAGATTGAAAATTACTGGGGTAAAGGTCCAAATAAATAAATTAGAAAATGCACAAGTGAAAAGCAAGTAGAGGAAATAATAAAGATAAAAGCAAAATTATTAAAATAGTAAACAAAATATTCAAATGGTGAGGCCTGATGAAACCAAAAGCAGGAAAGAGATTAGAAAACTAATTATTGTAATTTATCACACACTGTCATATTAATGGAGAAAAACTCCATATTCATTCATAATAAAACTCTTAGCATACTAAGAAACAAACTTCTTTATGCTGAAGAAGCAAATCTACTAAAAATGGTGAAACATTTATAGAATTCCCTGTAAATTCAAAAGCAAGATAAGAAAATCTCCTATTATTGATACTATTTCTCATTGTATTGAAGGTTCTAATTAGCACAGTAAGACAAGGTAAAAAACAAATATTAGAAAGAAAGTAACTGCCATTATTCACAACAAAATTAATAGATAATCCAAGAGAATCTGTAAATTATCAGAACAAACAGAACTCAGAAAATCTGTAGCATATAAAATCAATATGTAAAATTATCAATCATGTTCCCATTTACCAGCAAAAATCAGTAAATGTGGTTTAAAAATACATTTCACACTAACAACAAAAACTATAAGGTAAATAGAAGTGAATTTAACAAAGCAACTTATAAATCACATTATTATTATATGGTATGTATGGTTTCATATAATGTAGAAAATAGTTTCAATTTTACCACTTGGTGCTAGCTTTGTCTTTTGTTTGGCTATTTATTTTTACAACTCTTATTCCTCTTCCTCCTTTAATAAGTTTTTGGTAAAGAAATTACCTTATAAAACACAATTACCTGGTGCAGGGCATCAGAAAAATCAGGGCAGCATTGTCAATAGTCTTCATCGTCATCACAGGGTGAACCATTTTATGAATGCACCAAGGAAATGGAGTCATTCTGCAATCCCTCAGAGACTAAAAAAATAGTAAAACAGGTAAAATTATTTCCTCTGTTATTGGATGTTTCTTTCCCCTGGCCTCCTCAAATCCTTATGTTCCACCATGCTCCCATTTCTATTATATATTTCCTGTAAAATAGTTATATAGATCGTATTAGAAGGGGTCGATTACAAATTAAGAGCATAGATTCTAGAAGCCCCTTAGAACAGTGTCTGGCATACAAAAAATGTTCAGTAAATATATGCTAGTATTATAATTTTCAATGATTTGAATCACTAGAGGAAATTATGTAGCTCTTGCACTTTTTGCCCTGTACAACGTCCTTTGTTTCTATATAAGGACTGCTACCCTTATGCCCTACCTTCTACCAGCACTACCATTTTGGATACTGAAGTAAAATTGGTGGAAATCAGAATGTAAAGGAGTGACTAGATGATGCTTTCAAGTAAAAAAGCTCATTCTTTTTTCTATGCACTATCACCAAGTCCCAAGTCCAGAGCCTCTTTAGTTGCCACTGTTATCCTAGCATTTATTGACTTATGTATTCAAATATCTGTTTCACTCCAACTATGTACCAGGCACTATGCCTTGGTCATCCACTCCCTACAGCTCCCAGCACAATACCTCATACATTGCAAGGGCTCCATAAGGGTTTACTGCATGGATGAAAAAAGGATGCCCTGCTTCCTTTGGATTACAAGGACCTGTGAGCCTTGGGTCAGATTTGGTTTTATTTTTTGCATTCCATAAGGTCATCTAAATAAATGACTATTTCTCTGATAGTAACAAATGGACTCCTAAAATATATCGCTTGATTGAAAATCTTCAATGGTTACCACTGCTTTCAGATTAAACTGCATACTCCTTAGCACAACATTCAAGGCCTTGCAACACTCTATTGCACTTCCAAGTCCTTCTTTCTCAAAGATTCAGAATTATACCCAAGCTTTTCCCGCAAGCCCACTTTGGGGGTTTTGTCCTGAAAACACAAGGCCTGAAAAGCATTCTCTCCCTTTCCTCATGGCAGATGTCACTCACCCTTTAAAGGACCACCCAAATTTCCCCTTTCCTTTTTGACGGGTCATGATTATTACCAAGCAGAATGATTTTGTCCATCCTAGGTGATCCCTACACACCTTGAACAAGAAAACATTAAGGCCCTTGGGTTTGACTTACCATACTGTTTTTGTTTGTTTGTTACCTATTAAATTTTCCTGCCACACACAGAAACGCACACTCCTGAAGACACTTCAAAATACCCTCTGTTAGCACAGGAATTAGGTCTGTTTAGCATAGGAATGAGGCCTTCCATATGTTGTTACTGATCTTGAACCAAGGATTTTTTTTTAATGGAAAAGTTTCAAATATACACAAAAGTAGTGAGAACAGTATAATGAATCTCCATGTATACATCACCCAGTTATCAACTCATGAATATTTTGTTTGTAATTCCCACTTCTGCCCCCACTGAATTACTTTTAAACATATCAAACATTTAAATCTATTTCTTAAAAAATATAACCACAATTATCACAGCTAAAATATTAAAAATAATTACTTAATGTCATTAAATAGCCATAATTTTGCCCAAGCATATTTTGTGAAAGAGCTATTTAACGCCCATATGGTTTTTGTTTGTTTACTGTGTTTTTCGATTATGAAATCGTGTAAAGAATATAGAAAAGGGGAAGGAGATCTGGGAAAGTGCATAATTAAGTTGCAGAGAGCCTGGATGTCCCAGATGAAAAGGAAAGAATCTGACCTGGTTTGGTGTGGGAGAAGTATATTCTACTACTTCTCCGGAGGAGGAGGGTGCGACTTCAGGCCGGGTGATGCAGGAGAAGGTGCGGAGGGGAGAGGGGTACTACCTCCGTCGGGGGTTCCCTCTGGATAATCCCACCGTGGAGCTAGGAGGCAGCGCTTTTTTGGAGGTCTGGTTTCCCGCGTGTTTCCAGGTGGGAGCGTGGATCTCCCGGAGGCACAAGGTTGGTCCCCCATAAGGATTATAGGACAGGACCTCAGCTCTCTCTGGTGGGCCCCGTGAGGCCGAGAACTGAGATGGCGGCGAGTCCCCTCCAGGCACAGAGCTTCCTCCGGGTTTCGCGCTTACCGTATTTCCTGTATCCTGAAACGCATATCCCTTCTCCGCCTCCGCCCTCTGCCCCTTACTCCACCCTATTTTAACGTTCTACGGGGTGGGTCGTAAAGACTACACATATATTTAACATATGTTTTTCCACCGCCCCTCCTCCAAAATGTAACTAAATCTATGTTCTGTCTTATACAATCAATACAATACAATTTTAAGATTAGAAGAAATTCAGGTTTACTCCTAAATGGTAAACTCTGCATAGATTGTGGAAAGGCTCCGGGTTGGGGGAACAAGCGCGGGGAGGGCGCAGGTGGAGGGAGGGGGGAGAACAAAGACAGTATGGAAAAGATAAGGGCTTTACTATCGAGTTGCAGCTGTGTAAAACAGCCATGAAACTACCTAGGACCATTTGAAAAGCAATATGCAAACACGTTAGTTGACTAAAGTGCAAAATAACACACTAGCATTGAACATAGTAATTGAATGTGGAAAATAAATTCGCCGTATGTCATAGAATGTAGGGTCACATTTTTCTTCATATTGTAACAAATTAGAAATCTCTGAAGGCTTACTTTTTAAAATGTCTAATGATTTTTAATGTTTCAACATATATAAAATCTCAGTTAATGAATCTAAATTTCGATGGAAAGTCATACTTTAATTGTCAACGTTTTTGTTTTCTCAGAGTTAAGGAAAATAATAATTCATCTTACTATCTGGTGTACTATATTCTATGATATATGGTAATAAGATATATGATATATGGTAAGAAGAGGGTGCCATGTGGCTTTGAAGAAAAGGATCCTGGAACTTTCTTAGACCTTCAGCATTCACATCCATCCCCCTTTGGCTCTGTACAAACTAGAACACAGTTTTACAGCACTGTCCTCAGGGTTTTTTTTAATGGAAAGAGTTCAATCCTTAATGTCATAATAGATCTGACTTTTAAAATACTGTTACTTACAAGCTCTGTGATATTTAAGTAGTCGATTAAACATTTAGAGCTATGGGGGTGTCTGGGTGGCTCAGTCAGTTGAGCTTCTGACTTCAGCTCAGGTCATGATCTCATGGTTTGTGGGTTCGAGCCCCGTGTCGGGCTCTGTGCTTACAGCCAGCTCAGAGCCTGGGGCTTGTTTCAGATTCTGTGTCTCCCTCTCTCTGACCCTCCCCTGCTCATGCTCTCTCTCTCTCTCTCTCTCTCTCTCTTAGAATAAATAAGACATTAAAATTTTTTTTTAAAAAACATTTAGAGCTATAGTTTCCAGGAGATAGTAATTTCTTCCTTGTATACTATTGTCATAATTAGGGATCATACTAATAAAAAGTACTTAATAATAAAGTACTTATTAACCATGATTGTCTCTCATTTCCACCTTCACTACCTTCCTCTAAGTACCAGTGCAGTCCTTTACACAAACTAGATCCTCAGTAAATGTTTAGGAAATAAGTGGTCCTGTGATTTTTCTACCAGATGCTACTAATAAAAATATTGTGGCATTGAGTTAATGAAAACATGTGAAGGGAAATTAAGAGAAACAATGCTCTAGATTTAGAAAAAATAGTTGGGATTAGACAAAACAGATATGGGAGTCACTAACATAGCTCTGGTAGTTGAAGTCATGGGAATGAATGGTATCCTAAAGAGAAAATATAGAAAAAGGAAATGAGCTAAAGACAGAATATTGAATAATTATAGACAAAAGAAGAATAGACTGCTGTAAAGGCTGAGAAACAGTGGCTAAAGTCAGAGAGGACTCTAACTTAGGGTTACTCACTCTTGGGACTATTGACATTTGAGTCCAGATCACTCTTTGCAGTGGGAGGCTGCCTTGTGCATTGTAGGGTGTTTAGCAGTATATGAACATGTATCAGTAGCACTTCCACACCACTCCCAACTGTTGAAAAATAAAACGCCTACAGACTGCTAAATGTCCCCTAGGAGGCAAAATCATCCCCTCTTAGAACCATTGGTCTATCTTTAATCCTCCAAACTTACCCCTTCGCTAGTCTTCCTTATTTCAATGAATGTAATCCCTTTTACCCATTTGTATAAATCAAACCTTACTATTATTTTTTGTACTGCAGAATATTGTATTATTTTCCAAAGTAAATGAAGTAACATTTACATGTGTCTCTGTAGCAGCATTTTCACACAGAGAGTTGTGATACCAAGGATTTTTTGGTTTTGTTTTGTTTTTAGGAAGCAACTTTATTTGCAACTGCACTGCTCATTTGAGCTTGTACCCAAAGAACTGCACCCTGAATGCCAAATGGCGTAGTTTTTTTAATATGTTTTCTATTTCTTTGTATGTCAGATATGGTAACACACACAAACATGTAGTCTGATTAAGTGGTCTTGTGTTACAAGGTCATGAGGGATATTGTCACTTACCTGTATAGCCAGGTTGCCTTTAGGTTTTTTTTTTATTCTCCTTAAGGAGTGGACCCTACCACGTCTCTAAATCTGCAAGATAAAAGAGTCAAAGAGTAAAAGTTGAAATTAAGTTGTTTTATAGCTATGGTTTTAGTAAATTAAGATAAATATTGCCAGGGGCGCCTGGGTGGCTTAGTCGGTTAAGCGTCCGACTTTCGCTTGGGTCATGATCCCGCGGTTCGTGGGTTCGAGCCCCGCGTCAGGCTCTGTGCTGACTGCCAGCTCAGAGCCTGGAGCCTGTTTCAGTCTGTGACTCCTTCTCTCTCTGACCCTCCCCTGCTCACGCTGTCTCTCTCTCTCTCCTAGAAATAAATAAAAAATATTTAAAAAAAAAAGATAAATATTGCCTATTTTAGTAAAAGGACAGGAATTAAAATTATGTCAAATCCAAGTGTATTTGATTTATGGTATACATTTGACTTGTGAAAACAGTTCCAACTTAAAGCTCCTGCCATCAACCTGGACTATTTATATCTTAACTGGATTTATTTATTTTTATTTTTAATTGTGGTAAAAAACACATAAAGATTACCATTTTTATCAATTTTAAGTGTACAGTTAGTCATGTTAAGTATATTCACAGTGTTGTACAAACAATCTCCAGAATCTTTTCATACTCATTAAACAATGCCTTCCTGTTTTCCCCTCTCCCCAGCCCTTGGTAACCACCATTGTACTCCCAACTGTATTTTTGTTTGTTTTTGTTATACTAAAATGGAAAACCAAAGCCTCTTACAACAAGGTTTCAGAATGATTTTTACCCCTCATTTCTTCCAAGTTAAGCTTTCGTTTTGTTTTGTTTTTAACACAGGTGAAATAGGTGAATGTGAATCATAAAACCAGAAGAGGGCACTGTTAGGCAAAAGGGCTATCAAGTCAGAGTTGAGAAGTGTTATAGATCTGAATGTCTTTCATAATTTTAAGTGCTCAAAAGATGACAACAGAGGGGAAATGACAGTCTCTTCTATAAATGCTCCTAGGAAAACTGGACAGCTACGTGGAAAAGAATGAAATTAGATCACTGTTTTCCAGCATACACAAAAATTCACTCAAAATGGATTAAAGACTTGCATGTAAGATCATAAACCATAAAATTCCTAGAAGAAAACATAGACAGTAAGCTCCTCAACATCACTCTTGGCAATATATATTTTTTAATCTGGCTCCAAAGGCAATGGCAGCAAAAGCAAAAATAAGCAAATAAGACTACATCAAACTAAGAAGCTTCTGCACAGTAAAGGAAATCATCAAAATAAAAAAGGCAATATACTTAATGGAAGAAAATATTTATAAACTGTATACCTGGTAAGGGGCCAATATCCAAAATATATAAAGAGCACATACAATTGAATAACAAAAAAATTCTGGTTAAAAAATGGACAGAGGATAGGCATAGATATTTTTTCCCAAAGAAGACATGCAGAAGGCCAATAGATTCATGAAAAGCTTCTCAATATCAGTCATCATCATGGAAATGCAAATCAAACCCACAATGAGATATCTCCTCACACCTGTTAGAATTTCCCTGATTAAAAAGACAAGAACTAAGTGTTGGTGAGAATGTGGATAAAAGAGAACCATTGTGCACTGTTGGTGGGAATGTAAATTGGTGCAACCACTATGGAAAACAGTATGAAGTTTCCTGAAAAAATTGAAAATAGAACTACCATATGATCCAGCAATTCCACTTATGGATATTTATCCAAAGGAAACAAAATATAATAACTCAAAAGTATATATGCACCCCCATGTTCACTGCAGCATTATTCATATAATAGCCAAAGTATAGCAACAACCCAAGTGTCAAAACAATGGATTAGTGGATGAAGAATATGTGATACACACACACACACACACACACACACACACACACACACACTGGAATATGACTCAGCCATGAAAAAAACATGAAATGTTGCTATTTGTGACAATAAAGGGGGACCTAGAGGATATTATGCTAACTGAAGTAAGACAGAGAAAGAAAAATACCATATGATTTCATTTGCATGTAGAGTAAACAAAAAGTGAACAAAGCAAAGCAAAACAAAACTCATAGATACAGAAAATAGATTGGTGGTTGCCAAAAGGCAGGGATTTGAAAGGTAGGTAAAATCAGTGAAGTGGATCAAGAGGTACAAATGCTTAGTTATAAAATCAATAGGTCATGGGGATGTAACATACAACATAATGACTACAGTCAATAATATTGTTTTGAAATTTTGAAAGATGCTAAGAAATTATATCTTAAAGATTCCTATTGCAAGAAAAAAATTGTAGTTTTATATGGTGACAGATAGTAACTAGACTTAGTGTGGTGATCATTTCTTAATGCATACAAATGTTGAAATATTGTGTTGTACAGCTGAAACTAATATAATTTTGTATGTCAATTATACTTCAATCAAAAATAACAATAGAAAACAAAACTGAACCCACCTCTGTGTAAGAGCTGTCTGTTTTCACTTAGGGTTTTTTTAAATTGAAGAGTTGGTTGATTAATTGTGATTTCTTTTGGAAATTGACTTTATCTGAAGGCCAAGAATTTTCCCTTACATGTACAAATATAAAGGG